TATCTATATCTATATCTATATCTATATCTATATCTATATCTATCTATCTATCTATCTATCTATCTATCTATCTATCTATCTATCTATCTACCTACCTACCTACCTACCTACCTACATACATACATACATACATACATACACATATACACACTTTAAAGTCCAATTGATGGGGAACAAGTTGAGGAGGGAGGAAGGAAACGTTAATCTTAGACTCAAAGTGTTCAGATACCACTTAAATAACTATCTTATGTTGTTTCTGAAAAGTAAACAACATAAACAAGGAATTTATCTATATTGGAATTCAGATGGAGGCTTGGGATTTGTTTCCTTACATTTGCTATTTTCATGCGGAGAAAGTTTGCAGTGGAGCAAACGGAAACCTATCTAGGAATTATGTCTGGATAAATCATCAAAGTCCCCTACTCTTAACTAGGATCCTAATTCTGATTTATCACTGCTGAAAGCTAATTATTTTTAAAATTTCTGATTGTTTGTGTAGTATTTAGTCCAGAGCTGTCAAACTCATGGCCCACAGACTGGATGCATCATGCGCTGGCTATGCCCATGCCTGATTTAGTGAAAGGGGAAAAAGTCCAGATATGTCATGTGACGCCACTGTGATGATGCAAGTTTGACACCCTGGTCTAGTCCAAGATGACCCTTACAGAATAAGGCTAGAAAAAAAGAAGTTAGTTGCTACTCAACTATGAAAGCATCCATTCCAAGTTTCCATCTCAAAGATCAACAGCAAGTAAGAAAAATTGAATGGAAATTTACTCCCCTTCCCACCTCTCTGTCTTCATATGCATCCATAAACACACCCACCCACAATTAAAAGCATTTATCCATTTATCTGTTTGGGCTGTAAGGTTGAAGGGGACCATAACAACTTTGAGAGAAAGCTAGACATGATTTGGGGGCCATGCTAAGCATTATGAGAAGTATGTATCAGCATTGCTAAACTGGATTCTTTTATATAAGCAGCTGCAAGTCTCTAATCTCCCAATCTGGGTGTATCTATGGCAATAGACTTCAAACTTATATTCCTTTTTTTGAATGTTTTAATTAATCCATGTTGCTTTTATTTCAGATCAATGCAATTTGTTCCTATTGTGATGCTCTAAAGTGAATGTGTAAATTGAATTAATAGATAACCAACTATAATGGCTTTGTCTTAAATACATACCCCCTAGCAAGTATTATGGGCAAAACTCCAGGTTGCATGCATGCAATTTAGAAAGTAAGTAATCTTCATTGTGTGATTTTGGGTAAAAAAACTCTGCATCCAAAAAGAAAAAGAAGAAGCAGCAGCTCTATCTGTAAGCTGCCAAGAGTTCATTTAATGAACAACTAAGAGATGTGAAGTACACAAACTTCACGTTTTGCTGTAGGAAGTTAGAAGGTTCTCAGAAACTTGCTGCTTCAAAGG